AATTTCCTTTCGACAAACACAATGAAGACTTGTACAGTCGCCTAAACGGGACACGGAAACAGGAACGCCCCGCAAACTGAAAATAGTCGGTCTTGCAGTAAGTTTCAGGAGGGGTAAATATTCTCGTATATTAACTTTAACACTACCCCAAATATAAAACTAAATTGCAACATTAATCTTAAACTTAGCCTTGCTTTAAACCTAAACTCTACAGCTAACAGGAAGTCAAACCTTAATCATTGCCATAGACCTGACCCTAACCCCAGCGCTGCATTTAGCCCCAAACTTAAACGCAACCCTCACCTTACTTCTTAACCTAACTTCATCGGAAGTCGGCCCAAAGCCACGTATATTGTGGGGGGCTCCTGTTCCCGTGACCTTTCTAGGTGGCCATACAAGTAACTCTTACCGCTTTTGCTGATAATCTCCTCCTCCACCACCACCAACTAAACTTATAAAGCATTTAAAAGAACTAATTAGGCTATGCGCATTTCTTCAGTGAACTTTTAATGCGTTCTGGACTCAATTACCTTTCCCGGAAAATAAGCCCGCATATTTGTTTTAAGTCTGCAGCTTCATTAGCCCTAGCTGGAGTAGGATAACCTGACTTTGGCTTTTTTCTCGAACACTTTTGAAATAAAGACAGTCGACTTATCAGTTGCGAACATCATAAAAAAATTCTATCACTCTCTTTTTTGGCCTTAGGTTATAACTTTTCACATCTTCTGGGAAACAATGACTGACTGACAGAATGGCGTGGGAAGCAGGTGCAGCCGTCCCAGAGTCTAGCAGTTCCCCATTGATTTCCGGAAGAAAAAGTTATATATTCTCCCTCTATCTCTCGCTCGCCCTCGCTCTCCCTCTCCCTCTCTCTCGCTCTCTACCTGTCCAAGTCGGGTGACCATCTCTATCCGAGTCATTTGTGGGACCCTCTAAAACAAATTCTTCTACAGTTTTCTGAACCCTGCAAAGTATCCAAAGGATCTTTGTCGGTAACGTAACTGCCTTATTGGTTGTTTAATGCTAGACGAGATCCTTTTACGTGCTCCGACCATGAGACCCAAAGCGGGAAGACGCCAGTATTTCGTTCACTAATGAGACCAGATCGGTCAACGTTACGCCCACAGCACTTTGTAAATTTTTTGAGAGACAAAAAGTATCATGCCTCCAGCATGCATCCCATCACTTTAGTGTCTGGGAAATTAGTTAAGCTCCTCAAACATTTAAAGGACGAGCAGAGACCGCAGAAAAAGTTAACTGTTTACTGCCTTCTGACAAAAGTGATCTTTATATAGGCACTTATATCGACATATATTATTCTTCTTCTCCTGGCACAGCGTATAAACTGTTCGCAAACTATAAATTGTGAAGTCAGACATAAGCGGACTCGCCTCTGTGACCCACAACTGTCAGCTCAGGACGGCAAGCTTTCCCAAAATGAGTAACCTGGATGATTAGAGACTGGGAGAGAGAGACTGAGTAATCAGCTTCACATACATAGACCGCTTTAAGTCGCGTAGGTCGGAAGCGCGTGTGGTAGACGACGACGCCAGAGGTGTTGGGTGCGACAAGACCCGGGAAGGCGAAAGTTGACCTAGAAAGTGCTCACTCCAGGTGGTTTTGGGCTGCATATTGATTGGAATGCAGACCACAACACCTTCAGGTCACATGCCTTGCGTATGCGCGCCAGTGCTTGTGCGAGCACCAGAACGATAGCCTGAGACTGCATCATTCTGCCCCCTCTCTCTGCGTTTTGGGTGCCTTCGC